AAGTAAACTATCCCGCTCGTTCATAAGCTGTTTGACTTCGACCGTCAACCATGGTGCTGGTTTACCTTTAACTCGCTTTGAAATAACTGGAGCATATTTTAGGTATATGCCAGTTATTATTGTCTTCATGTAAGTCCAAGCTGAGTTCACATTGCTATTATTATACACGTAGGACCAATCAACGAGTCTTAGCTCGTTGTTCATTGCGTTTTGGTTGTAGCTTTTATAGTCTCGACAAATTATAGTTCTTGGCTTAAACTTAGTCGAGTTTATCTTGCAAACACAGCCGATCATATCGTGATCGCCAATGGAAAGCGGAATAACATCCGTGGCTTTAAGTGATACCGGGTGGCGATAATGTCTATCAAAGTTTTGGTCGAGCCGTTTATTCGTGTAGGCTTTTTTATCATCTGTTTGAAACCATACAAATTCAGAATTGCCTTGAATTCGGGGTTGTCTCCAGGGATTAGATAGTTTACATTAAAATCACCCAAAACAATCGATTCACTTCGTTTTCCAGGTCTTGTCTGCGCTCCCACACAATATTGTTCGACATATAAGCCGCTACACCACCGCCCTTGCCCGTTTTTCTATAGTTACTAATAAATGTGTAGCCAGGGATCTCAAAAAGTGACTCAGGGTCTTGTTCCGTTATATGGGTTTCGCTTAACGTTAAAATATCAATACCTTTAAAGTTCTGAAACAACTCTGTTAGATAAAGTCTGTTCGAGAAAAGACCCCTCACATTTTGATGAAATATCTTCAAGCCTCCTTGATCCAGTAGAGTACTCAATTTCGGTACACATCTTACCTCATCTACTTGTGGCCCAGGGCAAGACTCTATGTCTCCACACATCAGAATTAAGAGGTTGAGAAGGCTTCGACTCGACAGGCGAACACGAAAGGCGCGTTTCCCTGCCACAAACTTGATAGAATATATGTTTCGTTATTGAGAAACACTTCGTTCCCCGTTATAGTTAAACCAATACTATCGGAACTCAAGAAGGCACATTTCTTGACTTGGAAATTAACAAATATTAACAGAAATATTAGGGGCTTCAAAATGTGGTCGGGCGGTGATGACAATCAAGGATTTTTTTATGTGGCCTTACTGTTATACATAACTACACAGTGCAAGTCAAATTTGTACTTGTATATGAACGGAATCTTCGGTTGACCCTTGGTGTTTCGCTCACCAAATCACCAATATAGATCATTTGATCTACTATGAACCCAGTGTTCTCTATAAATCTTGGTAATCCCTAGCAATCAAGTATAACCCCCTAATCACTCAGTATAAACCACTAGTAATCTAGTAATTCGTAGTAATGTGGTAACCACTAGTAATCTAGTAATTCGTAATAATGTAGTAACCACTAGTAATCCTTAGTAATCTAGTAACCTCTAGTAATCCTTAGTAATAACCTCTTGTAATTTAGTAACCTCTAGTAATCTCTAGTAATCCTTAATAATCTAGTATTTCTTAGTAAATCGTAGTTAACTCTGAAATATGGGATTCTGATTGGTTAAATATCCTACTAACTATAGTTAACTTTAACTACTTTTATCTTCAATGCATGAAATTTAGCTCTAAATAGTAATCTTTCACATTTTTTGTCTCCTAAATCTCACCATTGCCCCCAGCGAACGGTAAAATATTACTAGATTGATATCGCTTACTAGATTACTAGAGGGCTACTAGAGATTACTAGATTACCAGAAGTTACTAGATTACAAAATGTTACTTGATTACTATGGATTACTAGATCACTAGAGGCTAATAGATTACTACGGATTACTAGAGGTTACTAGACTACTAGGGGTTACTTGATTGCTGGAGCCAGGTTACTATATTACAGTACTGAGGATTACCAAAGGTTACTATAGATTACTATGGATTACTAAGGGTTACTAGATTACTAAGGATTACTATGGATTACTAGATTACTAGAGGTTCATAGATTACTAGAGGTTACTAGATTACTATTGCAAATGTTGCAATATGATAGGCTACTCTACTCGCTATCTATTCGTCGATAGATATCGAGTAGCAAAGGGTGCGATTGTTTTGACTCGGTTTTCGCCCAAAAACAATGTTTTGTATCGTTTTTTTTTAACAAAATACAGAAGAACTAAAGGTTACTAGAATACTAAGGGTTACTAGATTACTATGGTTTACCAGATTTCTGAGTCATTAGGGGTTTATACTTGATTACTAGGGATTGCCAAGATCTATAGGAATTAGTGGTTTTATAGGAGATCAAATGATCTATATTGGTGAGCGAAACACCAGGGTTCAACCGAATCTTTAAAGTACTTCCGCTGACAAGTAGCAAGGTGTAAGTGAAGTACTTGTATGAGTACATGTAGGTCACTGAGTCTCGTGCTGTCCGTTGTAAAGAGAGTAGAAAAATAAAAATGCTTGTTAGTGACCACAAGAGTCATTTCAATACACTTTATAGTAGTTATGGCTGTGGATTTGCAAATGCAAAGCGAGAGTTTATTGTATTGGTCTGTAATATTATTTGCCAATTGTTGTCCTGAAACATAAAATTCGTCATGATGACCTATTGTGAACACTGGAACGACAACGATCATCAGATAACTTTATTTGTGTAGGGATTAGAACATTTAGTAAGGAAAGCAGTGGGAGTGGAAGTGATGCTAGTGACTGCAGCGATACAGAATGTGAATCTAGTGAGTCTGATGAACTAAACGATGGATTGAGAATAGAAAACCGGCAAAGTTCCATACCATCTATAATTCGTCATGCAGTCAACGTTCATGACACAGAACCTGAACTTAGCGATGTGCAGGTAAATGATTGTTTCGATGATAGTGACGTTGGCAACATTGGTTATGGTGAAAGGCCTGGCCGAAACGTTGGTGACATTGGTTATGATGAAAGACCTGACAGAAACCTTCCTCGCGTAATGGTACCCTGGCATGGTAAGTTATCTTATTGACTATTTGATTTATTTACATGTATCTACCAATTCGTTTTAGTTGGCAGACTCACTCAGCAACCTATATTTCTTCAAGATGATCTAAACCTACAACCTGTATGTGCAAGCATTGTTGGTATATGTCATCATAAAATATATAGCCTTACAAAGTCAAAGCCGAACACATAGTTAAAATGTATTGATCAAGCAGGTTATTTTTTGCACAGATGCTGAAGGAATGCTAGCAGAGCGTTCTACCGACCACAACAGCGAAATAGAGAGCAACAGCAGTTGTGATCAGTCTATTTCTGGAGACGATGATGCAACTGGGCAAATCTCTACGGATAATAGCAACGAAGACGGTCGATCGGATGGGGAGAACGGATACGATAACTGTCTGCCATTATTTAAGGATTCTTCATTATCAGTTCCTGAATTCAATGCTATTTTACTGGCCTTGAAACAAAGACATAACTTTTCAAATCTGGCTTTGGACAGCATTTTAAAGATGTTTCAGATTTGCCTGCCTGAAGAGAGCAATTTACCTTATACGTCGAGCTATCTCTTTGAACAAAAAATTGAGAAACAGCTCATGTATACTTCCACTAAGTATCTTACATGCATGAGCTGTCAAACACTGTTGACTAGTGATTTATTGTGTGAAAATCAGATTTGCACCCATTATCGAGAATGTGAAAAAGGAGAGGACTCCAGTGTGTTTTACACCGTCGATATCCTTCCTGAGCTGAAGAGGTTGATACCAGGTAAATTTACTGTGTTAGTATTATGGGTTTTTTTCTGGTAACATTAAGTTTGGCATTATTTATATAATTGTCGAATCCCCCCCCCCCCCCAAAAAAAAAAAAAAATATTAATCTCTTATAGATTTGTGGATTCAAGTACCGCTTGAACCATATTTTTCAAATTTGAAATACCAATAACCAATTCAGAGAATTTGCGAAATTATATATGTGATAACATTTTCTTTTTGTAGAGAGTTGGGAATCAATAAAAAAGTTCACCGAGAACTTTGACCATACGCCGGGTGTCTACAAAGACATTATTGATGGAAGTATATATCAAAAGCAATATAGGGAAGTTTGGAAAACCGGCAGCTTTCCAATCACCATTTACTGGCATCTAGGTGGAGCCCCTGCATTTCGATCAAACAGCATTTCGATCAAACAGCATCTCTCTTTGGCCAATTCAGAGTTTTATCGTTGAACTTCCACTGTCATTACGATATTCATACAAGAATATTCTAATGTCAGGAATTTGGTATGGAAAGAAAAAACCAAATATGGAAGTCTTTCAAAAGAAATTTGTCGAGGAAGCAGCTTTGCTTGGAAAAGGGTTTACGATGTCGGTAGAAGAGCAACATGAACGGAAGTTTAAGCTTGTTGTGAATGGCCAAGTTGCCGATTTAGTGGCAAAAGCTCCATCAGTAAATTTTATACTACACAATGGGAAGTTCGGTTGTTGCTCATGTCTCCATCCTGGAGAAAGAATGCCTGGCCGTGGTACCAAGCGTGTTTATCCGTACTCGCCCAACACCTTTCCACGTCGTACTCATAATGACACCTTACTTCACGCACAATTAGCTAATGATACCCGAGAAACCATTTTTGGAGTAAAGGGTCTTTCAATAGTGCATACAATTTTAAACATCCCAGATATGTTGCTGTTTGATTATATGCACCAAGTTCTTGAAGGCGAATTCACAAGACGCATGACCAAATGGCTTGCTGGATCATGCGGAAGTGGCGTCAATCTAAAGCCGTCCGTAGTAAGTTTGAGTCAGAATCTCAAGGCCATTGGTTTACCTCACGATTTCAACCGAAAGTTGAGGCCTCTCGAGGAGTTCAAAAGATGGAAAGCCAGCGAAAAGCAGACCTTCTTTCTCCATGCAAGTCTACCTCTTCTAAAAGGCATTCTACCACCAGAAATTTTTTACCACCATTGCCTGTTAGTTACTGGTGTGCGGCTGTTGTGTGAGTATGACATCACAGATGACCAAGTCACCATAGCTAAGGCCATGCTTCTCAGCTACACCAGGATGTTGCCAGATTTGTATTGTCTTTTTGAAGCAACTTTCAACTCCCACGCTTTGACACACCTAGCAGAACAAGTTAGAGGACATGGCCCTTTAATTCTCCATTCTGCGTTTATTTTTGAATCAATGCTTGCCCACCTTAAGAGGTTGTTTCATGGTACTCGCGGTATTCCGGACCAGATATGTAAGAAGTTGGCCGTTGCACAACATGCAGAACATAGTGTATCTAAAGCTCTGGAAGGTAACGCCAACACCAAAGAGTTTGCTGACAAGCTGTTGAATTCTAACCGTTTAACAGATATGATCAAACTTTCAGATAATGTATCTTTCTTCGGGCCCCTTCAACCTCTATCTGTTCCAGTAGACGAAATTCAAGACTTTCCACTCGAGGCAGAAAACATGGCTATTGCACAGCGAATGACCAAACATGGAGAGGTTTATCACAGCACAAGTTATGCCCGGCGAAAGAACGCTGTGAGTTTTCTCGTTAAGATCAAAGAAGATAATGAGGAATATTTTGGTAAAGTTAACTTTTTTGTCAAACAAAGGAACACTGGCTTTGCAGTGGTTGAAGTGTATCGTAGTTTGCAATATAATATCTGCCAGAATGGTTTGCCCGAGGCAAATGATCCCATCTTAAAAGAGTTTTGTTCGTCTGGCTATCTTGGGTGCCATTTTGTAGCCGTTGAGAAGACAACCCAGCTGAAATTCATCAATTGCTCTTGGATTGTGTCGAAGATTGTTCTTGTTAAGTCTAAAGAAGATAATGTCCATGGATTTGTGTCTTCTGTTCTTAAATGTTATCAGCACGACTGAAAGATATGAGCATGCAGGAATATTATATCCGGTAGTGTGCGCTGCATTTGACGTAACATTTTAACACTTCAATGGAACAGGTTACAACTCATTAATAAGATAACTTTCTTAAATTACTAAATACTTAACAATGGAATATTTAAATACAATAGGTAGAGGTATTTGATGATTATCTCAACGAAAATTGTCACTTAAGTCTGTTGGTAAATTTGTTACTTTAACTTAAATCGTGCAAGAAAATGACACGGTTCTTGTAAGTATTTAATAGCTCTACAAATCAATGCATCGAGATATCGAGTATAGAAAGTTGTAGTCTGGAGTAAATTCTGTAAAAACATTGTTGAAACAAAAGGATTTCTTATAAGAAAATGCCTAGAAGTTATATAAGTATAGGTATTAGCATAGAAAATGTTTGTCACATCATAAATTATGGAGAAAAATGTAAAGGTCTGGAAAATATTCATTTGCCTCAGCTGAGTCTACATAACTCTTTCTAAGGTATCTCAAAGTTTTCTTGAAAAATCAGTTCTAAAAGGGGTTCTAAAAAACCACCTTAAGATCCTGATTAAATCTTGTAGGAATTAACCTTTAAGATCCTGATCAAATCCTGTAAGAAACCTTCAAGATCCTGATTAAATCTTGTAAGAAACCTTTTAGATCCTGATTAAATCGTGTAAGAAAACTTTAAGATCCTGATTAAATCTTGTAAGAAAACTTTAAGATCCTGATTAAATCCTGTAAGAAACCTTCAAGATCCTGATTAAATCGTGTAAGAAAACTTTAGGATCCTGATTAAATCTTATAAGAAAACTTTAAGATCCTGATTAAGTCATGTAAGAAAACTTTAAGATCCTGATTAAATCTTGTAAGAAAACTTTAAGATCCTGATTAAATCTTGTAAGAAAACGTTAAGATCCTGATAGAATCTTATAAGAAAACTTTAAGATCCTGATTAAATCGTGTAAGAAAACTTTAAGATCCTGATTAAATCTTGTAAGAAAACTTTAAGATCCTGATTAAATCTTGTAAGAAAACGTTAAGATCCTGATAAAATCTTATAAGAAAACTTTAAGATCCTGATTAAATCGTGTAAGAAAATGTTAAGATCCTGATAAAATCTTGTAAGAAAATGTTAAGATCCTGATAAAATCTTATAAGAAAACTTTAAGATCCTGATTAAATCGTGTAAGAAACCTTTAAGATCCTGATTAAATCTTATAAGAAAACTTTAAGATCCTGATAAAATCTTATAAGAAAATTATAAGATCCTGATTAAATCTTATAAGAAAACTTTAAGATCCTGATAAAATCTTATAAGAAAACTTTACGATCCTGATTAAATCGTGTAAGAAAACTTTAAGATCCTGATTAAATCTTGTAAGAAAACTTTAAGATCCTGATTAAATCTTGTAAGAAAACGTTAAGATCCTGATAAAATCTTATAAGAAAACTTTAAGATCCTGATAAAATCTTATAAGAAAATTTTACGATCCTGATTAAATCTTGTAAGAAAACTTTAAGATCCTGAAGAAATCTTATAAGAAAACTTTAAGATCCTGATAAAATCTTGTAAGAAAACTTTAAGATCCTGATTAAATCGTATAACAAAACTTTAGGATCCTGATTAAATCTTATAAGCAAACTTCAAGATCCTGATAAAATCTGATAAGAAAACTTTAAGATCCTGATTAAATCTTATAAGAAACCTTTAGGATTCTGATTGAATTTTGTAAGAAACCCTTAAGAACCAGGTTAAATCCTGTAAGAAACCTTCAAGATCCTGATTAAATCTTGTAAAAACCTTTTACATAGATGCCAAGTCTCACGCATTAAGCGTGTGACACACGCCTCAGCATCATTTCTCACGCTCACACGCTTCAGTTTGATTATCTCACGCATAAGCAGAAAGTTAGCTGAGAAGCTAAAATGTAGAGAAATAATTGTGATTGTAAAATGTTTGAACTAATTTCTTTTGATATATTAAAGCTATCAATAAACATCAGACACTGTAAAACTCGTGTTTCCTTGTGTATTTAATAATGTTATCACTGTCGGACATTGCAATCAACACACTACTTCAGGATGTAACTAGAGTGCATTTTTAATCGCTATTGCATCAAGCTATCAATTATACGGCTTACGTTTGACGTACTTAGTAGGCAAGGCTATTACTCAGCCCTGCTAAATTATTTATAAAGCAGTTATTATAACCGATGTAAAATCTAAAGACGCATAAACATATTGAGATATATGCGTATAAGTATACAACTATAAACTTAAATGTAAACTCCAATTATTGACTTTTAACTACAATATAATATTCCTAAATATATATAAATGACCTTTTAAAATTTTACTCTTGGAATTGTAGTTTTTGTTTTGACTAATATTGCATTTGCACATGTTTCACATGCATTATTACTAATACTTGTTAAACATTGTGCCTTATTCTTAACACAAAATGTGCCTCTGAAATATTGTTTTTGAGAACCAAAAATAACACCCAAATATATTCTCAGAACGCTGGAAATGCCGTTTCCGAGACCCAAATTTCAAAATTTTTCCGGGGGGGGATGCCCCTACGGTAACTGCAGTGCGTTCATCTCACGCATGGACAAAACACAACCTTGGCATCTATGCTTTTAGATCCTGATTACATCGTGTAAGAAAACTTTAGGATCCTGATTAAATCTTATAAGAAAACCTTAGGATCCTGACTAAATCTTATAAGAAAACTTTAAGATCTAGATAAAATCGTATAAGAAAACTTAAGGACCCTGATTAAATCATCTAACAAAACGTTAGGATCTTGATTAGAGTCCATTACAATCAGTTTTGGATCATGATTATATCTTTTAAGAAAATTTTAAGATCTTGATTATATCTTTTAAGAAATTTTAGGATCCTAAATAAGAAAAGATCTTAGATAAGATCTTAAATAGGATCTTAAATAAGATCTTGTTCCTAAATAGGATCCTGTAAGATCTTATAGGATCTTATAGGATCTTAAATAAGATTTCTACCAGGGAATTCTTTCAAGTTTTTAAATTACTTCAAATATATTTATAAGGACATATGCACAGGGGGCAGAAAAGTACGATTGTGTTTTATAAATACCTTGTCATCAACGAATATCCCATATTTATATCACAACAATCCGCACACATAGTCATAAAAGGATCAAAATTAGCTGATTTTTATTTTTTCGATAATATCATGCCTTCTACTTCATGTAATTGAAACATATTGCATTGCAACGACTATTTCCGAACATCTTACGAAAGGATGTCGAGGGTGTAACCCGTACATAAATAAGAAAGGGATGATACGCCGAAAATCTTTCGTTCAATGTGCACCGCAACAACTGGTGACGGAAGTAAATTCGACATTGTAACCGGAAGTAGAACGGAAGTTGAAGGAAAATTGACCTATCATCTTCCATGACCTTTTAATCGAATTAACGGTTAATAATTTGAATGACAATATTATAACAAATTTTTAAAAATATTGCGAAATTCAAACTCAAATTAGTCAAATATTAATATGGAACGTTTTGTCAACTAAAAGAAATGCGAATCAATCGATTCAAAAGCAACACACGCTCTTGTATCTAGATGGTATAAAGCTTTTCAATAATTTTAAAACAATTGTTCTTGAATCGATCAACCGTACGTGAATATATCCACGACTTTGAACTTTGTTTAATAATATGACTGTATAAATCCAAACGGCAGTCTTTACAAAACCGGTCACGATTTAAACTCGTCTTCGCCGTGTGTGCAGACTTAAGATATATCAATAGACTATTTAAATTCAAAAATAAACTATACATGCACTTATGGGGCGAAAAAAATGGCAGTAAATTTAAATAAACTCTGAAACGGTTTCGTTAATTCGGTTAATATAGACTTTGTAGTATAAATACCGGTGCATTTTGGCTTGTATTTCGTAGGCTTTGTATGAATTATCAAATAAGTGACAATTCTTTCAATAAGTGACAATTCAATTCAAGGAGAATTCAATTCAGCGACAATTCAATGAGTGACAATTTATATGAGCATATTTATATGAGCGTTATTTTGAAACTGTATACTAATCATAAAAATACTGTATGACCTTGTCATATATTTAATATCTATGATTAATAATATAAATCAGTTGAAAAAATAGTTTTCGTCATGCGCAATATCTTTTAAGTGCGTAACTACGTCACTTCCGTCACCACCTGTTGCGGTGCACGTTGAAACAAAATAAGCCAAAATTGTAGTCCCAAAAATTTCGGTATAATGACCGTTTCTAAAAATTTCCTTGTACAGGTATGCTAAGTGTATCATATCTAAACTGTATACAAAAAATAAAAGGTTTTGAAACACGCCAGTTATATCCATTCGAAATATTTCGCGATCGGGGGTTTCATCCCTTTCTATTATTTGTACGTGTAAGCAAAGTCAATCGTTCTAGTATGAGCCCACGCTACTATGGTCAGTCCTTGTAATACAATGTTTGAATTACATGAAGTAGTAGACATGATATTATCGAAAATCAACATAATTTTCATCGTGATGAAACCTGGATGAAACTATGCAATATATTGGTTGATGACAAGGTATTTTAAATAAACACAATCGTACTTTTCTGCCCCCTGTGCATATGGTACTAGAATCTATTTATTCTCAATATAAACCAAGGATGGGAAGGTGAGAAAATAGGAATTTTCCGAGGTGTTTTTAACACAGACAATGACAGCCGACATTTTCAAAGGCAAATTGTGGTGACAAAACCAAAAGCTATTAACCTCTCTACTCAAAGCACTGAAAAACACCATAAAAAGAAAAACATTTTAAACATACATCAGGTAAGACTTTTAGCTCAATTTTCTCATGTTTTTGTTGGAAAAGCAACAGTTTTTAGCCAAAATTATTTTGCGTGCCAATGTAGGCAATGCTATAAAATGTCAGACACGCATTCTCTTTTGAAGTCTGGCTCTGAAAAACAATCGCTTTTTTTTTAGTTTGAAATAAGCCTTCATAACGACTATTGTGTAGAAATGTTATCTATATACTCACGTGAAAAACATAACCTAATATTCAGGTATTCCACATAGCTATAAAAAGGTGAAATAAGGACTTTCATCTTTGGTTGTTTGTCAGACGTGAGAAACCACAAAAGTGCCATTTTGTCGCGCGTGCTATTTTATAAAATAAACACCTTGAGACCATAAACTTTTAGTTCAGAAAATTACAAAGTTTTCCATAGACAGTATTAACAATGTTCTAGTGAAGCGATTTCATGATAAATAAGTGAGCAATGGGCCCAAAAAAACTGCTAAGGTTAGTTTTTGTTAGGACTTCAATTTCATGGCTTCCCGCAAAGGAAGAGAGAAGCGACATTTTGCCAAACAACTGTCGCGACCTATTTTGATAACTTTTTCTTCTGATTTAATGTGTAGTTACTAGAAAATGATGTTTCATCAACATTATTATCTGCTTTATAGATTTAAAGTTTTATAGGGGATATAAAAACCAGTAAAAAAGCATTTTGAAAGCTTCGAAAGATTTTGAAAGAGTTCAATGTGGTATAATTTTTTATCATGTTTTATTTATGTGTGCGAAGTATTTTGTGTTTTGCTGAAGTGGTATATTCATCAGTTGAGATATAGTTGCCAACCTTAGGTATAATCTATATATATCACTGCTTTTCAAATTGAGTGCTTGTGGCGCATGACAAAGGAATGGGGCGAGCTTAATGCAAATTGACATTTGGAAGCATTATTGGTGCATTCTACACGCCGTTTTGGGCTGCCTATGATATTAACAAGACACTCTCAGGGCATCTGTTTCTGGTTTTATTCATCCAAGTGACCCAACAAAAAGGATAAAAATACCATCGTTCAAATCAGCATGCGAAATTGTACTTACAGATTGCCAAATTCATTACTAAACAGCAGTATTCTAGCAATTTATGGCCTTGAAAGTCAAGCGAAGAAATGTTGACAATTGACAAATCGCTCAAAATTCAGTGTTATTTAACTAATTAAGAACGCAGTATGTTTAATCCTTGATAACTTTCGTATTATTGATATTCTCTTTTTTGGCCATATACCAATGGATTTTTTCCCCCCTGATTAATAAGCTTTATTTGCATGACCTAATTACAGGTATTGCTAAGCGTAATCGTAAGTATATAAATGTTAACTGGTGTATAAACTACTTTAACTAAATAAAAACAATATACTGCTATTGACATGTATAATATCTCAAATATGAAGGATATATCAATATATGACAGAACATATATCAAAATTTAAGAAAGGATTAGAAAGAGTATAATATAAAAAAAGGGAAAGGAAAGTTATACAATATATAGAAACTTGTGACTTCTGGTTTAAGGGCTGTTGTCTCTGATATAAAAACATTTCGAAATATGTTCCGAAAATAGATCCGTTATCACAGGGTCATTCAATGACATAAGATCACTTAATAATTTTCTCTTTAATCATCAGTGATACTCATTTGGAAATAGTTTTTTAGGATGTTGTGTGAGTTATTTCACAAATTCTCATATTTTTCACATTCAAATGAAAAATGAAATTCATCTTCAACTGCAATTTTATTGCAGTATTTACACAGTCTCTCCTGTCGAGGTACATCGCTATAACGACCGAACTCAATTTCTAGTTTATGATTACTTACACGAAATTTTGAGAACAGTCTCTTTGATTAGGGTCTTTAATGATATTTAGATATTGATATAGTGTTTTTTAAATGTAGAATAGAATGACAATTTACTAGAGTTTTTAATTTGGTTTTTCCAAAATGATGTGTAGTTATCTTTAATGGTTTTTCCAAAATCTTGTATGTTTGTATCTTGGACAAATTTTTCAATATCTATTGTATCTTCGATATCGGGATGAAACTTTTTAATAATGCTTGCAGCATTAGAATAGAATGAATCTTTACCGTTTGAGTAAAGTCTTTTCGATAGGTAAAAAGTTTGTTTCGCTATACTTGTATCTGGTAATTGACTAAGGTGGTTAATGTAAGAAAATAATCTTTTGAATATGGGGATTAATAGAGGGAATTTACCTAATTCACCCCTACTAGCGATATTGCTCGCTTTCCTGTTCACACCTAAATAGAGTTTGCAGAATTTCAGATGTGCTTTCTCAGTACTAGTTTTGTCCCATTTAGTAAAATCGTTGTTACCATAGGCTCCCCAAACCTCAGAATTATAAAGCAAGATTGGAGAGACTATGCTATCAAAGATTTTTATGGCAAGTTTTGGTGTAATTTTCTGAAAATCAAGATTTTTCCATATTTTAAATAAGGCATGCATAGCCTTTTCACTCAGTTGCTGAGTCGCAACCGAAAATTTAGTGCTAGGAGTCAGTTTTAGACAGGTAAGTGTATTCGTTTGTGATATCAATATGTTTATCTCCCAAGAAAAAGTTGTGTGTTTGTAGTTTAGAGTTATGTTTTTGTAGAATCATAATTTGGGTTTTTTCCAATTAATATTCATTAGCCATTTTTTGCTCCATTCATTGAGGGAGTCTAAGCAATTTTGGAGACCAGATTTTGATCTTGATAGTATGACAAGATCATCCGCATATAGTAGACTACTTAGTCTCGTTCCATTTGGTAAAGAAATGGGTCTGGGTTTACTTTTTCAAACAGATTAGGAAGTTCGTTTATGTATAGATTAAAGAGAAGGGGACTTAAAACACAACCTTGGCGTACACCTCGATTGTAGGAGAAGAATGGTGTTCTATGACCCGACACTTTCACTGCACACCGAGTATTAGAATACAGATCTTTTATCAGATCATAGAAGCATCCTCCAATTCCACTTTCTAATAGTTTCAAATAAAGACGTTCATGCCAGACAGAATCAAAGGCCTTTTTAAAATCAATAAAGCATGCGTAAATTTTCTCATTATTTTGATTAACATATTTATCATGTAACGTTTTTAAGGTAAGAATATGATTGGCTGTTCTGTTATTTGGTAGGAAACTAATTTGGGAAGGGTGTAACAATTCTTTAGTTTTTGAAAAGTTCATCAGTCTTTCATTGAGGACAGAGCAGAAGAACTTTCCTAACGAGCTTGATACACATATTCCTCGGTAATTACTTGGGTCTAATTTGTTCCCTGATTTAAAAATTGGTGAGATAAGTCCTTCACACCATAAAGTTGGGAACTTTCCGGATTTCATTATTGTGTTGAATACTTTTATAAAACCATTGGCAAGGATATCAACACTATATTTTATCATTTCATTGTTGATTTTATCCTGAGTGTGCAGCTTTTTTAGATTTTATTTTCTTAGCTGTTTTTATTATTTCTTCAATTGTTATTTCCGTATCAAGCTCATTGAGGAGATTTTTCGAATTTTCCTTTTGTTTCAATTTTCCGATAATTTTTTCTTGTTCTTCACCAAGATGGTGATCACAATGTAGTTGTTCAAAATGTGAGTACCATTCATGATTTTTTGGTGAGTTTTCAGAATTAGTTTCAGTATTAAGGTCGTCTGTCAAGTTCTTTAGTGTTTTCCAGAAAAGGTTAAAATCATTTTGACTAGCTGTTTGTAGTTCATTCATCTTTTTGTTGTGAAATTCACTTTGTTTCAGCTGTAGGGTTACCTTATACGATTTCAAGGCATCATGGTAGTTTTTTCTAAGTTCAACATTTGTAGGATCTCTATGCTTTAAATTAGATAATTTCCTTAAATCATGTCGTTTGATTCTACAGTCTTTATCAAACCATATCTTTTGAGCAACGTTAGTGATTTTTCTTCTTCGTTTGCACTTTTTAATTTTCAAACTTTTTTTCGATGTTTCAAGTAAGATGTTTTGGAATTCAGTTACACATTGGTTTGCTCCACTCAAATCATTTGTGAATTCTGAGTTCATAAATTCATTCAATTTATTTTGCATTTCTTGCGATCTTAATGATTCTCTAAAGTTATTTTTAGAGTGATTATCCCAAATGTATTGGTTTGGTAATTTAGTCATTTCAATGTTACATCCAGGATTGGTATCTGGTTTTTTGTTTGTCTAACAGATACCAACCCATATAACAATTTGACTATGGTCAGATAGGTATGTTGGTGGTTTTACAACAAAATAATTAGTATTTCTAAATAATTCCTGATCACATATGATGCAATCAACTACACTTATACCATTGTTACCGTGGAAAGTAGCTCGTCCAAAGGAATCACCTTTTGTGCGTCTGTTTAAAATTTTCAAGTCACAGTTTTTACATAGATTAATTAACTGTTTACCATGGTTATTAATTTGGTGGTCGAAATTTAGTCTGTTTTTTGGTTGCAAGCAATTTTCACTAGTGTCATTTATAAAATTGTTGCCATCTTTAGAGATAAAGTCTTCGAGTGTATTGGTTCTACCATTAAAATCACCAAGGATCATTATGTTTCTTTTTGATGAAAATTGTATAATATCATTTTCTAATTCATCAAAAATTTCATTTTCAAAGTAAACAGATTTTTCTGGTGGAATATACACACCACATACAAATAGATCATTTTTTTAATTTAACACATCTTTTGATATTTTGCACCATAGAAAATTTTTCAACTTTTTAACAATTGAAGTAAATTTTTCAAATTTGGTTCTGGTTAGTAGAGTGATACCACCCGATTTGCGACATGCCCGGTTGGTACGAGGTTTTGCAGTATCAGAGACAAAAGACCTGAAACCAGGAACATCTATATTTGAGTTACACCAAGTTTCAGTGAGGAAAATGAAATCTATATTATTAATATGGTCAATGAAGTCCTTGTTTTTAGTTTTCTCACCAAGGACAACATTTGAAATACCATGGATGTTCCAGGTACTGAATGATAAGTTTGTAGACATTTATAAAAAAAATAATAAGCAACTTATCTTTAGTCTCACCTTTCTCTTCATTTTGATAGTATTTGATCCAACGATAGTTTATCTTGAAGGTTTTAAAGTGAAATTTTACAGCCTGTAAGCGGAAATGCCGAAAAGTTTTATTTGTAAAGCACTGCATTTTAGTACTGTGTCTGGTCTTCACTCTGTTCTTATAAAAGCATATAGTTACCACTTAATAGCAGTCTTTATATATCGAGTTTATATTTCATTGCATCGCTGTCCTTGACTTTGTAGTTCTGTCTTTGTCAGGCTACATGATTGATTTGGCATTAATACATCTCCAAATTCATTATTCTTTTCGTTGAATCCTCAATGCAGTAAAAAAGCACTTTTAAAAGAACATAAACATACAGCAGCTTTGGCTTTTTAGTAGTTCTTTTTCTAAAAAAGTAGGGTATTTATGGATAATTTGGGCAAAAATTGGCAGGAGCCTTATGGATAATTTGGGTAAAAATTGGCGGCAGCTCAATATTCTATTTTGTTGGCTATCAATTGGAGAAAAATGTGAGCCGAAACCTATACTCTCCAGGGCACAGGTGCCCCAGCGAGTAATTACAGTTCATATACAAGAGCCATGTACATACAAAATGCACAGTATGACTACTGCTGGTCAACTGCATTATCTGACCAACCTTTATCTATCCCACATTGCTTTAATAGGTTGTCACTTTACTTATATCCAACTTACTGACAGAGATCCTCTAATTAAGTATTGTATACAACTTTCAAGTAATTTTAAAACTAATATTGTCTGATCAACTTGCACACATTTATATATATGGACTATTTACATAAATTGTTACACACACACAACTAATCATGCAAACCAAGTGCTTCTGCACTTACACACCGGGCCCCTAAGTATGACAGTATTTACAAAACGTTAATAGTTTTGTTTGTGGAAACACCACATAAATTTATTACTGCAAAGCTTTCGATCCGTAAGCCCAGATCTTCATCAGTGCTAGTAATATGTGCCTTGTTCAATTCATGTTTATGGTTCACTAGTCCAAAGGTTCACAACTCCGAAGGTTCACAACTCCGAAGGTTCACTAGTCCAAAACATACGCTGGTTTTGAATTGCAATTATGTGTTAAACATGGCTGCTTCCCAGGTATTTTTCTGTCAGTGATATTATTATCAAGTCTGGATTCACTAATGGCTAGTACTTCCAAGGGACTAAGCATCAAAATATAGTGAATCTCATGTGTATATAAACTATTTATATGGATACAAGCAACTTTAAAAACTTTGATGTTAGTGATGCTATGTAGAGGTAATTTACCACCGTCCCCAGTAGAACCATGTTGGCTACATATTTTTGTATTTTCCTGCCGGGTTAGGTTAGTCTCAGGTTCCCTATTTTCATGAGCATTCCACCCATCTGCTTGCACAGTACCATTTGAAAACCCTTGTCCTGATCACTAGACTGGCTGCTGTTACTAGCAAGTCCCTTTACAAATTTATAAAATGAACTGCCAATAATGTGCCTTTATCGCTTCACTAATTTCTTCAAATGTTTTCCCGCGATAGGCGAATTTATGCACTGCTCTTCAAGATAATTTATTTGGATCAATGTGATTTATAATTGTGTCACCAATTATAAGTATTGGTTTTTGCTTGTCAGGTTTTGATTTGTGGTTGTTCGGGTCTAGCTTGGGCAATTCTGCTGCTGCACTGTCTTTTCGAATATGATTGTCAGTTTGATTTGTTTCCCTTAAGTTTGGAAACTCGTTGGGACCATCTTGTTCCGTGTGTTGTTCCTGTTTATCGCTAGCTTTGTTTTTGTGTCTGCTTCATTTTGACGGCGCAGTTTACTGGATTGTATACCTTGTGGCATGTTTGGTTACCCCTTGGCTGGGATGTCTCTTTAATTTGTTGTTCATGTTGTTGGGATGTCTCTTCAAGCTTTTTGCTTGTTTAATAAGGCTTCATCGGTAATTTCCGAATATCTGTTTGTTGAAAAATAATTGTCTTACATGCACATTGAGGTCTAACATTACAAGAGTTGCATCTTCCAGTTCTTTTTTTAAGTAGACATTTTCTCCTTTTATCTGTATATTTTAATTTTTAGCAAAAGAGATATGTTCTCCTAACAATGTTAATCCAAAGCTGTTAATCCAATGTTAATCCAGAGAGATATATAATCGATTTTGCATCATACACCAATAAAAACAATGTACATCAACAACATTACTAAAATGACAAAACTCTGTATAGTCGTACCCTGTGGCATATCAGCCGATGAAGTAAAACTTGTGGGTAAAAGTGTAGCTGAAGGTAACAAAGATGATGAAGAAGAAGCTATGTGGTTGATACTGGAGGTCGAACGGTAGTGGTCATGGGAGTAGTAATGGTGGATATTAGATAAAACATGGTGGGCATTGGAGAATGGGTTGGTATTGGAGAGGGAGGGGATAGAACTGCAGCAGAAGCAAGGTCGGATTTTGTTGGAATTAGTGGGGGAGTTGGAAAAATATTTAGGGGAGATGCATGCAGCGGTGTAGCTCACAACCCCCATGGAAAGTTAGTGTCTACAACAGGCCAAAGTCAATGACGTGACGTATGTATGTGGTATACATGTATATCAGTGTATTAATCAATTCAAATTCAATTCCTTGGTGTCCAAATGCGATGTTCCACCAGAACAATATCACTCTATTGATGAACAGACGATTCCAACCAAGGGTAGATCTTCGCTCTGCCAATATTTGCCAAAGAAATATTTGCCACAAGTAGGGCAAAATGTAGTCTGCAAACCCAGACGTCATTTCCGACGCTCATTCTTCGCTTGGAAATAACATCTGCGGAAACGAGCAGGAATTCGATTTCCATCAACTGATCTATATATTTTTGATTAGCCAATCAGATTCTCTGTTAAAAATAGGCCAAGCGGAGTAAAATAATTGTGGGATAAATGCGGGACGATTGCGGGACAAACAGAGGGTGGGACCATTGCAGGAATGTACTAATAAATTCTAATTTAATATGTAAACCCAGGACTATGAATGAAACTCCAAAAAAATTTCTGCAAGCAAACGAATGCTGTTTTTATGTAAAATAACATTCTCGAACGTACGTGATAAAATAAAAGTATTCGGAAAAAGCAATGTAGACATAAAGGGATTAATACTATGTGCAACAAAAAGTGATTTATCTGTATCAACAATAAGGTTGAAAAAATGGAGAGTGATATCCAAAAAGATTACAATGTTATGACTCCAATCACGATTAAGAGAATGGCGAATGAACCAGGTTTGGCGCCAACAGCAAAGAAAGCTTTGACTTTTTCTAATAGCATTTGACAATCAACACTGTCTGCGAAGTAAATACAACAACAGCGCCAGCGAGAGAAGATACCAGTTTGCAACCCGCTGAAAATATACCGAAAACATTGACACCGGTCCACAATCATGAAGAACGGTACAAGGAACTTGATAGAGACTGAGAATCTGAAAATGTTATCTCAACGAAGAAAACCACAGTTAATCTAACAGTAGAATACCCGAGCAAATCCATCTGCAAAGAACTAAAAGATGACTTTGCTGTCATTGGAAAAGCAATTGTTAACGGATCGAATGAGAAAATCGCTCGTGCTATATTTAAATGTGCCGCGTTGCGAAAATGTGTGCTGGAAAAGGTTTTAAAACTTTTAACTTTTCAAGTGAATAAACTTTGTGCATGAAACAACCCGTCAATACTTCATATCAAAACAAAAGCGGATCTAGAAAGTTTTGACTTCAAGAAATTATGCCTAGAGTGGCAAGAACGTTGCCCTCTATTTTACGCTTTCCTGATGACGCTTGCTACATCGAAGAAGGATAATCTTACTACTTGGTATCCAAGTGTAGCTGTAGCAGGTTCCATACTATTAAAACAGTGCAACTCGCACATGAATGGCTGTGCTACAGTCCTTGGAATTCTGTTGAGATCTAGATCCCTCGAGGTAAAATTTTGTTTATTGGATTATACTTTTTTCACTATACGTCTATATAATATACTTTACACCCGTTTTCAAAATTACGCGACCAGGCCGAAAATAGCTAGAGTAGATTTCAGAGTTGACATGTCAGTTTTATGCCACACACACACGGTCACGAAGTTAAAATGTTTACAACTTTGAATTTTGTGGTTGGTTATCGATGTATATGATTTGTTTGCCTTATATAAAAAAGTTGCGCAGGTTTTCAAAATATTTTACTAATAAGTATTACAAAATTTAAGCACAACAAAATCATAATACTATACCGCTATAGTCTATAGCACAAGCGAGTTTGATGCACATTTAAATTCGATGTTAAATTGTTCTTTTTCAAACTTTAAAAGTTATTCATGACACAGATTTCTGTTGTGATGGTTTGTTGTTTCTTTTAGTGTGTATATCTAGCTAATTTTGGTTCAATATTCTTCTTTTAATAGGTATTTAAATACAGTTTACAATGTCTTTTGTTTACGTTGGCTATTTTTAGCAGTTCGTGTGACATAAAACTCACATTTAAGATTATTTTCGGTAGGTACTTTAAAGTACTTTAATGGCCATGTGTTGGCTATTAGGCTTGAATTCTAATTCTGTCCGTATTGCAGGAGTGCATCTGAATTAGAAGAGTGTATAAACAAAAGAAAGATGAACATGGTGACAGTTGAAGGATGTTAACTTTCAGGGACACTGGTCCCATGTGTGTGGGGTCAAGATAAAATAAAAAAAAAGATTTACGTATTGCTACACTGTGTACTTTGGGCTTTTCCGGATTCTTCTGATTCAACGAGCTAAGTCAGATTCAAGCTAACCACATAGAGTTCTCGGACACTCATGTCAAGATTTTCATACCTCGCAGTAAAACAGACGTCTACCGAAAAGGTAATTATGTTTATATTGTTAAAACACATTCTAACTACTGTCCAGTTGTTTTGTTAAATAGATACTATGCAGCAGCAAAAATCGAGGTGGACAGCAACCTGTCAATAATCCGACCTCTCAGCAAGATGAAATCCAGTTATGCATTGAGGAAAGGATCCCTCTCCTATTCAAGGTGTAGAGAAATGTTCCAAGAAACCCTTGGTGCCTTAGGCTATGACGCAACAAAGTTTGGTCTTCACAGCTTTCGTTCCGGAGGAGTATCTTCATTTACGAAAAACTTAGTGCAGAGTCAGTTCCTGAGCGATTGTTAAAGTTGCATGGTAGATGGAAGTCTGATTTAGCCAAAGACATGTATGTTCAAGAGACAGTAGAAAAGCGATTATCTGTAACAAAAAACATAGGTCTCTGATACAAAAATAAATAAATAAATAAATAATAGAATTGTGTATTATTGGATTTCATTTAGTTAATGTTTGTGCTAGGCTCTGCTTGCACATTACCCATACTTGTCTGTCAGCTGTTTATTAGTCTATAAGAGGAAAATGTTTTACGTTCGTTTGAACGCAGTGAATTAGAACGTAACTTGTCAAAATTCGCTTCTCCTTTTTGCATTGTACTGTTATCAGCTATATGAAAATAATGTTTGAGATTATCAAGCTATAAAAAGCAAACACTCTTGCCGTTTTCTTGTTCACAAAACACTGGAAATTCAGTTTTAGCCGCCATTTTGTTTTTCTCTACTAGCAGGATATGAGCTAATATCCTGGTAGTAGAGAACCAATCAGATTGCAGAATACCTCATATCCAGACCTTGTGTATATAATAAAAGTATTTAGTATTTTTGCACAAGTGAATATAACAAATCCTACATTCTACAAAGTTGATTGGTCACATTTGATGTATATTAAGCTGTTATATTTACCTGCAGGTGAATAACAATTCACCTGCAGGTAAATATTAACAAACATAACAGGTGGGAAATTTGTCTGAGCATGCGCGAGTAAAATGAGTCACGCAATTGTGTGGAATACACGCAACACGTGTTTACAGAAAAGCACAATCGTGTAAATATTGCAAAATGTTTGTACAAAATAAATGACTGTTTTATGTTGAAAGAGTGGACATGATCTAAATTAATCATACAGAACTTTTTAGTGACGTTCTATTTCAGTACCCTGCCATTGTCTCTGGTGGGCTGTCCGTGTGCATTCGATCTGAAACAGTTGCTACTTTGCTGTTGAAGAATTTCGAATGTTTACATGAAAATAGAGGCAAGTCATGCATTTTACAACCTCTTAAACTGTATGAGCCCCTATTTTTACGCTTATACCTAAGATATCAAATAAAAGTACATGAAACAAAGAACATTTGTAGCAAGTTTTATTGTGAGGCCACGGCCAGTTTTTAAAATATCTTTATTTCTGTTCCGGTCATCACCAAAATAACACAAAAGCCGGGCTTGAATATACAACAAATTTTGAATCGCATCAAGCACAAAAATACTTAACGTGTAACCGAAATATGCCCATGAAATCGAAATTAATAGCTAAATTTTCAAACTAGACCCTTCTCGAAGCAGTTTTCATGAAGGAAGTTCACATTTCGGCCTTTGATTCTTGGCAAAAATTTGACCACAACATGTGCGAAGCAACTGGGTCTCAAAGACCTGAACTAAAACATTGTGAGCCCCTATTTTCCTGACGATATGTTTGATACCTACAAACGCCAAAAACTTCTTTCTTTTCATTTAGCTATATTTGAAATTGAGGCCACAGGCTATTTTTGAGAAAATACAGTTCAAAGTCAAGCTACTTTTACATATTTTCAAAATTTGTCAAATTTCGCGAGCTTGTATTTAGAACTTAGACAGCTGAAGTTACATTAAGAAACATAGGATGGAAAATTTGAGGCATATAAAGTTAATTTCAACTTACATTTCATTCTCAAATCACGTCTTTCTTCGTTTATTATGGTTTTAAACAAGCCATAGATCGACGTATACAGTATTTACTCCCATGTTCACATAGCCATATTAACTTCTTCCAATCACTCGATTACAAAACAATCGTCCCAAAACAAAGAATGCATGATAGACTTTTAAAAGAATAACCAATAATTTGTAAATCGTTGAATGGAAAGCAAAAAATCATCAGCTAAAACAGCTTCTTGCTAACTTTCTGCTTTGTTTTGAATGTAAATGCAATGAGCTTTTGTTTCTGCCCGCAATTTTTTGGTCAGCGACGACAAATTTCCCACCTGTTAACAAACATATAAATATGCAAAATGGCAGCTGGCCGCTTTGTGGGAGTTACTGATGAAGAAATAAGTGGAATAACAAAAATTCAGTCCCAAAAACACAAAGGACTTCTGTAAAATACTAAAACAATTATTCGCCTCATGCAGGCTCAATGATTATTTAATAAATATTCACCTCGACTTCATCTCGAAAAATATTCCCCAATAATCACCTCACCTCACCTTAGGCAGTGAAGAGTATGTTGCAATAAAAGTTACAGAAAAGTTACAGTGAAGAGTAATTTTGCAATAAAAAATTAGCGTTAATATGACTTGGCCTCGTAGCTCAGTTGGCAGAGCATTGGACTAGTATCCCAAAAATTGTGGTCAGGCAAAATTTTCAGCCTGCCCGGTGTGGATATACAGTCAGCATAACAAAAAAAAACCTCAGTAAATGTATATTTCAGCAAAAATATTTAATTTAAACAACAATATCAAACGATATCTATATAGAGTATGTGAATATAGAACATATAACATTAATGCTACTCATTGCCAAGTTCACTGTTTCTTCCATGCCTTTTCCTCATTATTTAGTTTGCACTTCATGGCTTTTATAATATCCTCTTCAATAACTTGACGTGGCATACTAGAATAGTTCCACAGCCTTTGGATGAGTTAGAATAAGAAAGAAGCGATGAAGTATAATTAATGGTAATTATTAATGGTGAGCTGTGAGGAGCTTTGTGCAAGGACTGGAAACCCTCCTTTAAGGCGTACGATCCAACTTTCTTGGGCATAATTTTTTTAAAAACAGGTTTTTTTTCAAACTAAATTTGGATCCAACGTGACCTGCAAGATATTTACGAATAATTATTTTACCACTTTTTGATACATACTTATAATGCTTACTACTCGTTCCAATTCACTGGCATTATATAAGACTAAAAATAAATTTAATATCTTTTGCATCAGCAACTTTTAAAGTTTGTTCGTTCACTGCAACCAGGTATATCAATCAAGTTTCGCTCGCTACTCTAGTTTAAATAAATGATTACAAAGCCCAGTTGAATTGCAATCAAGACCTAACGTTTTGACACTCCAGTCTAGTGTCTTCATCAGGGGTGATCTAATGTTGCAATCATGGCTTCACGTCACCTGCCAATGAGATGCATGCATGTATTCCTCAGGCAAATATGCACCGTCATCCCTATTCAAAGCATGATTTATACTCACATTTATATGCCACGCTTCTAGGCAAAGTTTTTGACCATAGCTTCTACCACATACAATCGCTATGGTCAAAGACTTTGCCTAGAAGTGTGGCATATAAATATGAATAATCATGCTTTGAATAGGGATGACAATGCCTATTTGCCAGAGGAATACATGCATCTCATTGGCAGGTGACGTCATCCCTTGGGTATTAAGAAGCCACATTTGCATCTTTAGATCACCCCTCATGAACACACTAGACTGGAGTGTCAAAACGTTGGGTCTTGATTACAATTCAACTGGGCTTTATAATAATTTATTTAAACCAGAGTATCAAGCAAAACATCATCAGCAACTTGTTTGCATTTTGACATTTGGCTCTCAAACATTACAAGACTGTTCTTGTTTCAGTCATATATAATAGAGAGGTTAATATATAAAATTATGTATCTATATTAGTATATACTGTAGGATGCGGCGAACATGACGACAGCATCTCAATTTCAGCTGCAAAATAAATGCTACAGACTTCATTATAGGGTTTATAAATTGGCAAAAATAGATACAAAATAATATACATACCATATCTGAGGATAGATATTCATCTGCTGTTTGATCCAAACCATCTGCATAGTTTTCTTTTGATGCTTCACTTGTGGGATTCTGCATAAGAGTTGCTGAAGTGAGAGGGTCTTCTTCCAACATTATCGAATGGCTTCCACTGCATGCAGTCTCCAAAGGAGCAAAATTAACAGGTGTACTTCCAGGTAAGACATGTGGAGAATAGTTTCCTGATACAACAGGAGTAGATCTTCCAGAGGACACAGGGGAAGACATATTCGAGCTCACTGATGAATACCCTTTGGATGCCGCAGATCTGCCAGATAAAGTTGTTGTAGAGTTACTGGTTGTAGTTGACAGGATATGCAAAGATCTTCCAGCTACAATTGGCAGTGTACTTCTTCCTGAAAATGAACCTGCAGGTGGCTATGTTACTTTGGGCATGTCTTCCAAGGAAGTCACATATCTCCTTAGCTTTCTTAAGGAATTTTTTAAATCTAGGAAAATAAGCAAATTGATGGGTATTAAAGGATGGAAAGGATTTGGCCAACACTTGCACTTAGTCTATTAAAACAGCTGCACCAGCATGTTAAAAGTTTAATCTATAAAGGTGGACTTCAATGATCTGGTTTGTTGCACTTCACTTGGTGGAATTAGTATTAGAATGCTATTTTTAGGGTTTGTAATCCAAGTGAGTATATATATACATTTTAAGACCTGACCAGGAACGACTGCAAAAAATGCAGCACAAGCTCTTCTGGTGGGAATTGAACCTACAGCCCTGCGATTCTGGTGCAGCGCTCTAACCAACTGAGCTACAGATGCCAGCTGTTAAGCTGTAATAATAAGTTCATGTATATATACAACCTTTGACAATATACTATGGGACAATGTCGTTTCAAAAACGTTATATAGACATTGTACAACTTTTCCACGTGAATATTCATCCCTCCCTCCCCCCACCCTTTTCAATGTTGCGTTGATGCCAGATGATGTCTCGTTTGCGATGTATCCATTTTTTGTGACATCAACATTGAACGGGGGGCGCGGGGGGAAATGGACAGAAGAAGTTATATGAACTTTCACTATTTGTCTCATAGTTTTTGGCAAAGATTGTCTATATCATGCTCGGTGAGTTACACTTCTATAAAACTGAAGTTAACTTTACGATTTCAGAGTCAAGTGCCCGTAGTTTGGGCGTTTGGCGTGATGTAATCAATGCGTATAACCGTTTTGTAATATGTACATCATTACTATATGTACGGCGTCATTACTATATTTAGAATGGTTGTTTTTCGAGGTTATGTAATTTGCATAAGTTTGCGCTTTTCTAATAATAAAAACAGGAACATCATTGCAGAGAAGTATTGCTCGAGTTACGTTTACTTCACAGTGACTAAGGATTACACAAGCCACACAGGTACTTAAGAACAATTACATTAAGCCCAACCTTGATGACGTGACTGATTATATGTGATAAAGACTTATTGCATGACGTAAGCGCAATGCGGCTATAAATTGCATCCTCGCGCGCTTGCGGCTACAGCGAGTGAATACCAATTGATTATTTCAATAAAAATGGTCTACCATACCAACATTACGGATCAGATGCGTGGACATGTGGTTTATCTTGGCGCGAAGGGAAAGTATTCGTTACGAAAAATTGCGGAAAAGGCGGGTGTTTCGAAATCAACTGTTCGTCGTATTTTAAGTAAAAGCAAAAACCAACCATTATCAGCGGAAAGACGAGGAAGGCCCAAAAAATTGTCACCTCGAGATAGACGGCACTTATTGAGATCATTATTTAAATTGCGCGAAAACAATCCTGGCTTTTCAATTAAATCTTTGGTCGCTTACAGTGGACTCCATTTATCCGGCATTTCGTACAGAACATTTTATCGAGAGCTGCGTAGTGAAGGTTTTCAGTATCTACAAGCGCGCAAGAAAGGACTAGTAAGTCGATCGGACCGCGTTAAACGAGTGAAGTTTGCACGAGAATGTAAGAAAATACTACAAAATGAGCCTACGTATTTCCACGAGGTTATTGCCTTTTATCTCGACGGTGTTTCATTCGTGTACAAGCCAAGACCAATGGCGCAAGCCGTAGCACCAAAGGGTAAAGTGTGGCGAAAAAGAGCCGAAGGTTTAAAGATTACGGCTAAAGGATCCAAAAATCTGGCAGGGGGAAAGCGCTTGCATTTACTTGTCGCAATTGCATACAACAGGGGAGTGTTTTTCGTTGAGGAATATACGAAGATGAATGGCGCATATTTCAGTGATTTTGTAAACAGAAATTTCCCGGTCCTATTTCATGGACGAGAATGCAGAAAGATGTTTATCATGGATAACGACCCTTCGCAAACAAGTACCATGGCATTGAAAGCTATCGAGGATCAAGCTGCGCAGCTTTTCTGTATACCTGCTCGTTCACCCGACCTCAATCCAATTGAAAATGTTTTCCATATAGTCAAAAGCAATCTACAGATGCAGGTTCGAGCGCAGGGAATCAATCATGAAACATGGATGGAGTTCAAGGAGAGAGTTTCTAAAACACTGCTAGATACTTCTTTAGATTTTATAAATAACTTAATAACGAGTATGCCTAGACGCATCGACGCAGTAATGGCCGGAAAGGGCTATAGAACCAAATATTAGCACGTTTGTTCGCTAGGCACGTGACACTGAGCTCACTAGGCAACGAAGCTCACTTAAATCTAGACCTTATATTGCATCTTATATACGCTGTAACTGACTTACCAGAAACTTTTATTTAGCAAAGTCATTATGGATGATTGATATCAATCCTATAATATCAGCATGCTTCATTTTACGACTATTGAGAACGATACAAACAAGTGAGAGATGATTTTTGTTCAACGATTCTCGCTTGCGCCATAGAAAGGGCAGAGACATATCAAGTTCATTTACTATGTTTGGGTGAGCTTCGTTAGTTATATGTAAAATTTTAATTTTTTTTAACATTTTTGACTATAGAATATTGTTCACACATACATTGTGTTAGAAAATGAACAAATATAAACTATATTTCTTTAAAAACTGCGACAAAACCGTAATTTAGACTGAGATTCGTTGGTGAGCTTCGTTCAGTAAATGGTTTGTTGACAGACAAGTATATAATCACTGCTAATTGTCTTATCCTGTTAATATATTATTGTTTGCTAACACTCAGCATTTTGTAAAATAAGTTTGGCAAAGCAAGAACTACAAGGTTTCATCTGTTTTTGCTCTTCTTTTGGTATTTGGCGATGTAATTTGAACATACGCCCTCGGACCTCCATCATTTCAGTGTTGACTCGATCGACACTTCCCCCATTAACTAAGGCAAGAGGGGCGTCACTAGTCGCAAAAAATGGCGTGTCCTTGTCCAGCACAATATCCTGTCTCACAAAATTTTTAGGGGCTGGAAAATGCACGATATCACCCTCTAAAACCTGCAAAAATTCACACCATGGTATAAGGGTAGGTTTCCATCTCAGATCATTAAGTAAACCACCTCCGCTTGGTCTACGCCAACCCACGCAAAACTCCCTGAGGCAGGATTAACAAAGCACTCATAGATGGTTTTCAAAGGCGAAATTAAAAAGGTTTTGCCACAGTTAGCAGGGCCATAAGTATAGATATTTCTATATTTGCCTCTTCCTCGCAGCAGGGCATCATAGACAGCACCAGCGAATATCGAAACAGGTATGCCGTTCCCCTCCAATATCTCGGCTGCCGAACGTAGCCATATTCCCTCGCAATTGTCTCGGCACGGTTGTGTCAAATGCTCTTGAAGCAATTGTATTCTAGTTTTGTTTATTCTCTCCAATCGTTTTTCTGCCATGGTTAGTTCGTGTGCTGTCTCTAGAGCTTCGTTTACAACTCTCGGACCTCGATTGGACACAAATTCTGCCAAATCCGTCTTGCCCTGTTCTTGCCACTTGCTTGCCAGTGCCATTAGTTCCAGCCGCGACTTGATTCCTTTCGTTTGGATTATCCGGACGACGTCGTAAACTGCCATGCGTTCTTCTTAGCGGTCCCCTTACGTTTTTGGGACGCATTGGTTGTTCGCGATGCAGTGGCATTTGTGAGATCAGGGTGATTATCAGACAGGACATAATCTGCGTCATCTTTTACTACATATTTATACGCGCTGAAGTAATTATCGTGTTTATCTGAGAAGTTCACTTTGATTCCATGACGCATGTCAAGAAAATTCTGGACGGCCAGCCACCTTGTTTTCTTGTCCAGTTTCAATGCCATATGGAAATGCTTGCCACCATCCTGATGCATTTCTTCACTGACTACCCACTGGATTATTTTTGAGAGACAGGAGTCATTCCACGCATCGAGTAATATCTGGGCAAATGCTTGTCTACTTAGACCTGAATTACCGCATTGACTATAGGTTATGAGATAATTCGATCTTTGTTTTGGAGGCTTGGATTGAACAGCTTGCGTTCGAGACGAAGACATACTTGGATATGATACACCTTCGTGTTTATCGGAAACTCCAAAATACCTATTAGGTAGTATGCAGGCTAAACCTTATACTCCCACTCAAAATTATGATCTGGAACATAATTCAGAAAATATTTCAGCATGCATACAATTTTATTCTTCCATTTTTAAAGCTTATTAAGATGTATGACATTGGTTTTATTTTAGATGTCGTAGCGTAGTTATACAGACTGTATACATAAGTGGAAAAGTAATATATACAACCCCCCCCCCCTTTGCGAAATACTCTTTGAACAAATCAACCTTTCTGGAAAGCATTAAAAATTAAAATGCATTATTACTCTATAGAAAAAAATTACAAGACACAGTGGAATAACGATTAAATGTTGAATTAATCATTAAAATACATAAACAAGTCTCTATATCATAGACTGTAGGTTTGATATCCAGAGACAACTTTTAATTTATGTTGGCAAAATTCGTGATAAAAGAAAACTTAGCATGATTATGCATTATAAATTATCATAAATTAGCTTAGTCGTTCCTGCACTTCCGGCGATTTGGAAGTTAGAACCGAATTTGAGATCACAGAACCGAATTTGAGATTGCAGAACCGAAATTGAGAATAGGCCGTGAATTCTATTCTGCTGTTTTGAATTATGTATTGTCGTTTTAAATTCTGTAGAGCTAATTCAAATCCTGTAATGTTTAGTTAAATTATGTTTTGTTGTTTCAAATTCTATTGCGTTGTTCTAAAATGTGTTTTGTTTACAATTATGTTGCGTAGTTCTAAATTCTGTCCTGGAGACGTAAATTTTGTTGTGCACGTTTAAATTCTGTTCTAATAAAACAACAATTTGGAACAAGAGAATTTTGGTTCGCCACATCCGAATTTGAAACAGGATTTTGGCGGTCATGACCCCTCATAGCGAAATGCCCAATTATTGCGTTCTAAAACAGAATTATTTGCAACCTAACAGCGAATTTAAACCGGTACAGGTAAAATAAAGTCATTTATAGTACAATCTTTATATTTTTATTTGTATACACGTCTAGAAAATCGGGGTTTTTATCATAAAGTTTGAAGCAACACTATTATTATGTTGACAAGGTGTAGCGAAAGCACAAAATGAGTCAAAATATATACCAAAAGTAGAATCTTTCATTTTGTCTTATACACAACTACATTAATATATATTTTCTCAATTTTGGCAAGAAGCAGTCTTGTGTTTGTAAAATATTCAAACACATATACAATTTTAATTTATTAAATAAAACGGATACATATAGTGTTAGCCTGTACAGTACTGTATAAAACATACATTGTTTACAAATGGTATATACGTAATAGTTTAACAATAATTTCAAAATCCTCATTAGGATATTCTTAATTGGAAATTTTGTCTCCATCAGTAGGATTGTCTTCTCTGAAGTTTTGAAATAAACAGACGTGTCGAATAGATATACTAAAACAGCAGGTGAATTTTAATCCAGGGTTAGCGCTAACCTAGCATTGAACAGCCGACCCGAGATCTGAATTTCCAGTTGATAATAGTCAACCCCGGCCATTCTGGCCTCGTTTAATTTTTGCTTTTCTCCTCCTTTTATACCTGTTAAATTGTTGCTCACTGCGCATGGCCATGGGATGCATCAGGTTAATATCGGAAAGTCTAAATTAGTTTCAACCGCATCCCGCATGCGCAGTATCCAATAATTTTAACATGTACAAATAGAAGAGAAAAACACAACTAAGGCGAGGTCCGAAATCCTAATAGCTGTTATCGTAATTGAATACGTTTATGCTACGGACCAGCGGTATCTGCATTATTTTAACATCGAGACGAGGCTATAGGGTCATGTTTTGTGTTTTTTGACCCTTTAGCCTCGTTTTCGTGCGTACTTCCACAGAGATACCGCTGGTTCGACGCAGCGGCGTATTCAATTACGATAACAGCTATTGGCGAGGGTTGCCAATTAATTGTTGATGTGGATATAGGCCGTGGGATGAGCATCCAAAAGATGCTTAGAAAACGGATTCCGTTGCACCAAACTCGCACTGCGCACGCGCACAACCAACGCACATGCTTCGAAGTGGAAACACGCTCAGTTATGCAAATAAACATGGCTGAAGATATTTATAAAACTCGAATATCCTCATGTTTTATGCATTTTGATGGCGTTACGGAGCAACTTCGCAAAGTTACACGCCAAAGGCTTAAGAAATTTCTCGAGTGTAGGTCAAAATGGGCCAAACTTAAGTGTCAACAAGCTGAAATAGCTAAGAAATCGTACGAGAACATCGATGACGGATCTGTCAATTCATACATCGAGAAGAACTCTGACACCATTAACTTAGAATGGAACCATCATATGAAATGCTAGAAGAGATTTTGCGATGAACCGAAGATCCGTGGATAACAGAGAAAAGAAGAAAAAGGAGAAGGAACTAGCTCTAAAACTATAACTTCTACCGAAGAATCACACGTGGAAGTGGAGGCAATAGAACCAAGGCGAAAAATTACTGTTTGTGGAAGAGACGCCTCGTGGTTCTCACTAGACAAGGTATGGTCATTTTGATAGGTATAATACTAGCGCAATGTGTACAACATTCGCAGGTTTGGTTTTAAAATATATTGAATTGTGATCAATTAAGTTTATTTAGGGTAAAGTAGTTTCTATGCTACAAACATCCAACCTTGTTATTAGCAGATATTTAGTTTAATAATTTATTTTGTTTCACACCAGGTAACTAAGAAGAGAAGAAGAACCCCACTAATGTTGGCAAAAACAATTGATGCTGGTCTTCTACGTACAGCTGCCGAGAGAAAGAATGATCAACAGATACTCGTGCAAATCCAGGGGAATGACTGTGTAGCTCTGGAAATCCGCTATCACAAAGTTTGCTACTGCAATTATACAATATTTCTCACCAGAGAGACGAAGAAGCAACAAGAGCATCAGTGTACGAGAAGTCTTATGATGTATATTTCTGTAAGAAAGTAATTGAGATGGAGGTCATCTGAATTGGTTGAGGAACATATGTCAATTAATGGCCTGTTTATATGGAAGCCGGGATGGCCCGCTTAGCAAGACAGCCCGGTAAGCGGGATGAATTTCTCTTGTGTTTATATGAGAAACTTTCATCCCGCTTGCCAGGACAATTTTGTTACATTGTATTGTCTTGACAGTTGTTAAAAATAGCTTGCGGCGGTATCTTTGAACTTTCATCCTGGCAACCAGGATAGCCCGCTTGTAAATGTTTATATGGAGAAATTTCCATCCCGGTAAGCGAGATCTAGCCTCTTTCAAACGAGATCTCGGCAACCGGGCCAGCCCGCTTGTCCATATAAACGCACAATAATTTTTACTATAAAAATAACTACACAGCAAGATCTTGCTTACCAGGCTGTCTCGCTTATCAGGCCAGCCCGGCTTCCATATAAACAGGCCCTAAGTCTGAAAACAATGATGAGGACTTTGATGAAGAGAGCTGTACCATTGATGATGATGATGTGAATTCCAACACAGAAACTGAGGGAAATTCTGAAGTCAATGAGTTACAAATTCTATACAATGCTGTATTCATTCTTCACCAAAAGGTGCAAGAAATTGACAATGGATAATATTTCAAATCCGACTATGAGGACTGGACTAGATTTCAAGTCCACGCAATTTGATCACGTCCACGCAATTTGATCACGTCCGAGGTGAAGCAGAGGACTAGATCAAAATGTGAGGACTTGAAATCTAGTCCAGTCCGAATTGGAGGATTTGAAATGACATCACAAATAAATCACTACTTAATTAATTTTTATCCAGTCCTAGGACACTACAGGATCAATATACTTCATAAAGTATCCAGTATTATCATGTGAGCAAAATAAAGCAATATGGTTGGCTAATTTGCTCATGAATTATTAATGATTTGAGGTGAACAATGATGGTAATGCATGTAGGTATTATCAGTGGAGTAGATCAGTATTTATTTACTTATTCGATATTCTCATTCGGATCCACAGTATTTATATTATCAACACATATATCCCTCTCATGGACAGGGTTAACAGTATGGTCTTGTCTGAGAAGCTAAAACGCACCCTGGTGGAGAAGCTGAAACTCACAGCAGCAAATCTATAAGAAAAAGTCAACTAGTGTGGACACGAAAAACCAGGCTGAATCGTTCCTTGTTATTCTAGATAGTGGCTAAATACCAACTTATGTCACAATATAAATATAATACATG